AGCGGTAGAGAGAAGGGAGAAGCGGAGACTAGAGGGAGGCGAGAGAGAGAGAGACAAGAGATAGAGAGAGAGAGAGAGAGCGATCGGGGGAAAGCAAAGGGGGAGAGAGAGTGACGAGAGAGAGCGAGCCGCTCGAGCGGAGTGAGTCACTCGCGAGCCGTGAGACCGATGCCTCCGCCTACGCTCTCGACTCTAACATCTCTGCCTCTCCTGCTGCTCTCTCCTCTCTCCGCTCTCTCTCTTCTCTCTCCCTCTCTCTAGCTCTGCCTCTCTTCATCTCTCTCTATCTCTGCTCATCTCTACTCTCTCTCACTCTCACTCTCCTCTCACTCTCTCTCTCTCTCTCAATTTCAATTTAAGGGCTTTATTGGCATGGGAAAATGGAAAATGTATGTTAACATTGCCAAAGCAAGTGAAGTAGATAGTAAACAAAAGTGAAATGAACAATAAAAATGAACAGTAAACATTACACTCAGAAGTTCCAAAGAATAAAGACATTTCAAATGTCATATAATGTAATTTATATATACAGTGTTGTAATGATGTGCAAATCGTTAAAGTACAAAAGGGAAAATAAATAAACATAAATATAGGTTGCCCTTTTCTTGTGGCAACATGTCACAAATCTTGCTGCTGTGATGGCACACTGTGGTATTTCACCCAATAGATATGGGAGTTTATCGAAATTGGATTTGTTTTCAAATTATTTGTGGGTCTGTGTAATCTGAGGAAAATGATTTTCTCTAATATGGTCATATATTTGGCAGGAAGTTAGGAAGTGCAGCCCTCAGTTCCACCTCATTATGTGGGCAGTTTGCACATAGCCTGTCTTCTCTTGAGAGCCCAGGGTCTGCCTTCGGCCTCGGCGCCTCTCTCAATAGCCAAGGCTATGCTCACTGAGTCTGTACATAGTCAAAGCTTTCTTAATTTTGGGTCAGTCACAGTGGTCAGGTATTATGCACGTGTACTCTCTGCCATTCTAGTTTGCTCTGTTTTTTTTGTACATTCTTTCCAATGTGTCAAGTAATTATCTTTTTGTTTTTCATGATTTGGTTGGGTATAATTGTGTGTTGTTTGTCCTGGGTCTTGTGGGATCTGTTTGTGTTGTGAACAGAGCCCTAGGACCATCTTGTAGGGGGCTCTGTCTCCAGGTTAATTTCTCTGTAGGTGATGGATTTGTTATGGAAGGTTCGGGAATCGCTTCCTTTTAGGTGGTGTAGAATGTTTTGGAATTTGATGGTTAGCCGGATATCGGGCCTATACTGTCTGCATGCATTACTTTGGTGTTTACGTTGTACACTGAGGATATTTTTGCAGGAATTCTGCATGCAGAGTCTCAATTTGGGGGATCGTCCCATTTTGTGAATTATTGGTTGGTGAGCGGACCCCAGACCTCACAACAATAAAGGGCAATGGGTTCTATAACTGGTAGAAAGAGGAGGAAGGGAAGCGCTACTAAGGTACACAATAGTAAATGTTGGTAGACAGAAGGTGCTCTTTGGTCAAAGGGGTAAATTGGTCATAAAAAAGAAAGGGGGCCCAAAGGGCCTCTTATAAAAAATTAAAATGCCTTTTTAGTAGGGCATGTTAATAAAAAAAGTTTTTTTAAAAAAAAAGGCCCGTTTTTTTAAACAGGTCAAAGGATGTCCATGGGAGCTTGCTACAGCCCCCCTACCGGGTTTGTACTTGGGTAAGGGGGAAAATGATTTATTTTGGATCCTTCTAAAAACCCATTTCTCTGGGAAGGAATTTTTGGTGGGGACCTTATTGATATGTTTGCCTTTTTGGCCCGGGTCAGAAGTTGAACTTTTTTCCTTCCCCCCAATACCTTAAAAATTAATTAACATCAAAAAAATATGGAGTACAGCGGGATACATTCTTTTTTGGGCCCTCGACATTGTAAAAATTAAAAAAGGTTGTTTGCAACATCAATCTTTGGGAAGCCTACGTGGGAATCCCATTTGAGGGCAGACAGTTTTCCCCCAAAAAGGTTTAAAAGAAATATTCCATAGGGCCCAAATTAAAAGGGTCCGCAAAATTTTGCGATCGGGGAAACGGACTACAGTTAAAAATCTGTGAATTGGGGAAAATTTCGCTTCTTGACCCGGGGTTTTCCTTTTTTTTTTTGTTTGTCAAAATTTGGGGTGCAGGGTGAATAGGGGCGTCGTACAGAAATTTGGTAAACACCCCTTGCATTGGGTATACATTGTTTTCGCTGAGGAAAGTAAGGTGCTGTTTAATGATAATTTACCTTTAATTTAAGTATTAGCAGACGTCTTACCCGACGACTTACAAATTGGTGCATTCACCCCATAGCCGGGGGGTTAAAACCCCTTTACAATATTTTTTTTGTTAGTTTTTTTTTTTTTTGGGGGGGGGGGGGGGGGGGGGGGGGGGGGGGGGGGGTAGAAGGATTACTTTCCCCATCCCAGGTTTTTTTCCCTTAAAGAGGTGGGGTTTCAAATGTCTCCGGAAAAATGGTGAATCCGCTGTCCGGCGTCGTGAGGGAGCTTGGGGTTCCCCAAAAATTGGGGGCCAGAGCAGAAACATTTGATGGGGGTGAGCGGGAATATGCTTCCCCCAGAAGGGGGCCAGCAGGGCCCGAGGTGGATGAACGCAAAAGCCCTCGTTTTTGGGTGTTTTAGGGACGATCAGAGCCCGAAAGGGACGGAGGGGGGGCCCTTCCCCTCGCTGCTCCCTAGGAAACACCTGGTCTTTAACATGCGGCTTCAACTGGAAGCCGGGGGCAGGAGGGGGGGGGGGGTGTGAAGAACTTGGGAAGGGGTTAACACCCCGGGGGGTGCGGGATTGGATGAGTTTAGGGGTTTAAGGCACAGGAGGGAGCCCCGCCAAACGCAGTTCAGTAACCAGAAAAAAAGGGGGATGACAAGTGCCTGGATTAGGACTGTGCCCCTTCCTGTTAAGGCGGGTCTACTCTCCCAATGTTGTAAGCATGAACCCTGCAGGGTCGGGTAAACCCCCTTTAGTTGGGAGAAACAGGGGGTTGTCCAGGGTCCGCCAAGGCCCTTTGCACTCTGGGGGAGGGGCACAACGGAGTTGTCAACCTTTATGGCGAGATCATGAACGGCAGTCCCTTCCCCCCGGGGGAAGGCAGCTCCGTCTTGCCAGGGTTTAGCTTTAGGGGGTGATCCGTCATCCATATGATATGTCGGAGACATGCGAGATGCGATTCGCCACCTGGTTTCGAAGGGGGAAAGGGGAAAAATTTTGTTTGGGTTGTCAGCGTAGCAATGATAGAGAGGGCCCTGGGGAATGCAGAGCCAAGTGACTTGGTGTATAGGGGAAAAGGAGAGGGCCTAGAAATGAGCCCGGGGGGGAAACCGTGGTGAGGCACGTGGTTTCGGGGACAGCTTTTCGCCCCCCACTTGGTAGGAGCGACCCGGGCAGGGAAAGGGCGGGGACAAAGCCCTGACCTCAATCCTATAGAACATTTGTGGGCAGAACTGAAAAAACGTGTGCGAGGCAAGGAGGCCTACAAACCTGACTCAGTTACACCAGCTCTGTCAGGAGGAATGGGCCAAAATTCACCCAACTTATTGTGGGAAGCTTGTGGAAGGCTACCCGAAACGAAATGACCAAGTTAAACAATTTAAAGGCAATGCTACCAAATACTAATTGAGTGTATGTACATTTCTGACCCACTGGGAATGTGATGACAGAAATAAAAGCTGAAATAAATCATTCTCTCTACTTTTATTCTGACATTTCACATTCTTAAAATAAAGTGGTGATCCTAACTGACCTAAAACAGGGCATTTTTACTAGGATTAAATGTCAGGAATTGTGAAAAACTGAGTTTAAATGTATTTGGCTAAGGTGTATGTAAACTTCCGACTTCAACTGTATATACAGTAATATATGCTGTGTTACTGTATCACTGATATGGATGACATTTAGGATGCTAGGCTAGGCTATGCAAGGATAAGCAATGTCTTAGGTGATGGACTAAATGTGTTGCAGCGTTTGCTGGTTAGCATTGTATGTATGTCTGTAGGGCAGTTGAGGTACAGTAGGCCAGTTGAGGTACAGTAGGCCAGTTGAGGAACAGTAGGCCAGCTGAGGTAAAGTAGGCCAGTTGAGGTACAGTAGGCCAGTTGAGGTACAGTAGACCCAGTAGGCCAGTTGAGGTACAGTAGGCCAGTTTTGGTACTGTAGGCCAGTTGAGGTACAGTAGGCCAGTTGAGGTACAGTAGGCCCAGTAGGCCAGTTGAGGTACAGTAGGCAAGTTGAGGTACAGTATGCCAGTTGAGGTACTGTAGGCCAGTTGAGGTACTGTAGGCAAGTTGAGGTACAGTAGGCCAGTTGAGGTACTGTAGGCCCAGTAGGCCAGTTGAGGTACAGTAGGCCAGTTGAGGTACTGTAGGCCAGTTGAGGTACAGTAGGCCAGTTGAGGTACTGTAGGCCAGTTGAGGTACTGTAGGCCCAGAGGCCAGTTGAGGTACAGTAGGCCAGTTGAGGTACTGTAGGCCAGTTGAGGTACAGTAGGCCAGTTGAGGTACTGTAGGCCCAGTAGGCCATCTCTAGGAGACAGAACGCATCTCCTTCCTGAGCGGTATGACGGCTTCGTGGTCCCATGTTGTTTATACTTGCGTACTATTGTTTGTACAGATGAACGTGGTACCTTGAGGTATTTGGATTTTGCTCCCAAGGATGAACGAGATTTGTGGAGGTCTACATTTTT